AATGCAAAGTATCTGGCAGTCCCTTCCCAGGCACTGCTGAGCAGACACGGGGTGTGCAGCACGGCGGGGCCGCGGCCGCAGCCGCGCGGAGGGCGAACCGTTGCCAGTTCGTTCAGACAGGCCTCCAGTGAGCAACACCGTGCTGAAATCCCACCGAAGCCAAAAGACTTCGGGTACCTGCCAAGAGGCAAGCGAGTGCCCAAGTACCCCCTAACTGCAAGAAGAGCGGCCCAAAGCCCTGCGGTGCTGCCACGGGCGCGGTGGCCGGCTGGCCCGTGCCGTGCCACCGGCGCACGGAGGGTGGGCTGGAGACGGACCGCACATGCGGGGAGCGTCTGCGGTTCAGAAATACATCCCGCGGTTTGGGCACAGGATTGGGGAAGCACTACCCTGAGCACTTGCAGCCTTGGGTACTGTGGCTCCAGCTCCCGCAGCTTTGCTACGCTCTGGTCGCCTCTCTGTCCTTTCCCTGTCATGACCGAGCTCTGGGCTCCCAACAACCCCTCCCTTCCTCCTGGCTTCTGCTGTTAACTTCTCGCGACTTTGGGGGACAACCAGAATTACTATGACACGGTTCAAAGAGGAGCTCTCGCAAACCCCAGCCTGCAGCATTCCTAGCAGCATCCCAGAGCCGGGATCCCCGCAGCACCTGGGGCGGCGGCTTGGGACATACTTCTGATCCTTAAGGAAACTGGAAGGGAGTCCTGAGCACAGTAGGAAGAGGTAAGTGGGTTCACATCATCCCTGGAAGGTTTGCCGGCATGCAGGGCCCTCCCCGCGCAGCGACGGTGCAGCGCAGTGGCTGAGTTGCTGCTGACAGAGCGGCAATGACCCCCTCAAACGACCCGGTAACATCGGTCTGACCCGTGCGAGGTGAGTCTGGACAACCCATTCCGCAGCCACCGGAGACTAACGTGAGTCCCGTCTCTGGCACGGCTAGCAGCAACTGAGCCGAGTGGTCTGGATGCCTTGACGGAGTTTAAAGAAGAAAAGGCGATCGAAATGCCCAGGATGGTGTTTCAATCTCAGCGACTGCAACCACCACACTTTACGTACAGCAGCATAATTATCGTCCGCGTTGTGACCGTGACAAACGTTCACCACCGGCCCCTGACTGCTTTAACCCGCCGCGCCGTGGCAAACGGGGTGAGGACAGCAGCGCGTGGCACGACTCGTCCCCTCGACGGTCAGCCGTGCGACGGAAACGTGCTGCTGCCCAGCCGAGGCACCCGCAGACCCCGCTGCTCAGTAACCGCTTCCCAATGCCGGGAAATCTCTACGTGCCACCGTTACAGGTCTGGGAAGTGCACAATAAAGACCTCCGAGGGCGCTGGTACCTGGCAAAGCCATTCTGATCTCACAATCATCTTTTCTAAACATTATTGAGCAAACACTGAAACCTAATCAATCATCTTTTACTTAATTGCATCTTGTCACCACTTTAGCTTAACATGTACTCCTTGCTTAGCCAAAGCAACATGATTGAAACCCTGTGAAGAGCTCACTTGACGCATTTATATTAGAGAGGGGTTAATTTCCTAGGGAAAATGATCACTGTAAGGTGCATGTAATAAACTGCTGTCGTGACCTCTAGCCTTCAAGCTCCCATATGTGCAATCATTGTTTGTGGTTTCCGTGGAAGTGCCAGATGCTAAGAATTTTTGGCAAGAGTTTATCAATTTGACTCAGTGTAAGATATTACTGTGATATGGCCCATTAAACATTTTACTTTCACCTGATTGGTGACATTTCCCTTGACAATAGAAGAGTAAAGCAGAAATCAAAAAGGTCAGAGGTTGCTATATAATCTTTTACTGCAGGTCCCAGGTTAAAACCACAATGATCACACTCCAGTAGGATAATTCATTCCACAAAAAAAAAAAAAAAGTGACATTTATTTTCCTTTAATGAACTTTGGCCTTTGCCAGATATAACAGGTCTGCTGGAAATCATTGGCTATGCATTCCTTCCCTTGACCATCAGCAACCCACAGTGGCATGGGAAACGTTACGCATGCCAGAGGGATTGACTGCGTCGTGTGCGTGGTACCAGAGATGGTAGAATAGGGGGCAACAAACCAAGGCATCATCATACAATACATCAAGGGAAGAGGAGGTGATACGTACAAGCAATGGAAAGAAATTAAAAAAAAAAAAAAAAAAAAAAGAGGTGGCAAACAGTCATCCAAAAAGTCAGCAAAAGATTATGGTTACTTCAGCTATAAAATGGGATATCTGGTTCTTTCCTTGGAAATTGATTGTTTTTTTCAACATCCAGCCCAGAAGCAGAGGTAGAGTTGGGACAAGGCAGTTCTCCAAACTGTAGGTTACATTATACTTCTCATGTAAGTCCCTGTAAACACTAAAAATGCCATTTTGATCCTGCCAGTAATGAAGGATGAAGCCAGACTATGCCTATGTGTAGAGCCTATAAACCCGGTACATTTGAGATGGTGAAGATGCTTTCTATGACTCTAACGTAGCACAGCAGAAGGTGGGGAGGAAAACTTGATGAATCCATTGAGATTGGTGGTAACAAACGTTTATAATGTGTCATGTGAAATCTGCTTGCCTTCTGCCCTGCAAGCAGTGAGGATCACCTGAGTTCTTTATAGATGTTTGCTATCATGCAGAAAAAGGAAATTGTTATTTATTTTGATACACAAGGAAAGGGAAAAATAATTGAAGGAGATGGGTGAGAAAAGAAAATTCTCCCAATTTCAAAACACATCCAGGGGCTCACAACCTTCAACTGAAAATCCACATCCCTGTCAGAAAGCGAGACAACGGTCAGTAGCAAAAGGGCCCATCTCCCTGGCACGGCACCCAGCAGCTCAGCTGCAGCCACGGAGGGAGGGGGGCGTCACCCCGGCACCCTCGCAGACGTGGGCCCCTCTGCTCGCCAAGGGCTGCGCGTGCGGCAGACGGTGCGTCTGCGTCCGAGCAGCAGCGGGAAGGGTTTGCCTCAGCTCTGCGCTCGGCTCTCCTGCACCGCACACGCAGTGTCTTCTCCCCCAGTGCTTTCCTCACCTCCAGGGAGTGAAAACGCACACACTGGGGGCGTCACCCCGGCACCCTCGCAGACGTGGGCCCCTCTGCTCGCCAAGGGCTGCGCGTGCGGCAGACGGTGCGTCTGCGTCCGAGCAGCAGCGGGAAGGGTTTGCCTCAGCTCTGCGCTCGGCTCTCCTGCACCGCACACGCAGTGTCTTCTCCCCCAGTGCTTTCCTCACCTCCAGGGAGTGAAAACGCACACACTTATCTTGGAGACAAAACTTTGCTTTCTCGAGGAACCTCTAACACGCTTGGTCCGCGTTTCCAAACTGGGGAGGAATGTGGTCTTATTTTTTCCCTTGGACCTATCACTTGATCCTTGACATCCAGCCCTCTGGGACGCAGGAGGACCTTTCTCCATCTGTGAAGGGGCGGGCAGCCGCCTGCGGGGCTCCCCAGCAGGACCTCACCGTGGCTGCAGCCATGGTGCCCCTGGCACTCAGAGGGGCCGCTCCTTCCCTGGGCACGGAGGCTGTGGGGCTCCGCTCTGGTGGCCACCCCCCACCATGGGAGTCCCACAGAGTCCTGTGCTCCCGCAGAAGGTGCTGAGCCCCACGGGAGACTCTGCAGCTCTGGCCTGGTACCAGTCCTCAGCCTGGAGGAGTCAGATTAATCAACGCTTTGGACTTGTTTTCAGCTATTATGGTCAATATATTAAAGGTATTTATTTAAGAAAGTGCCTATCCTGCCAATCTTTCCCCATGAGCTCTATTTTGAACACACCCTATAATTACTGATATTACCCTGGCAAATTTTCCCCATGAAGTTTTCTCCACTAAAAGCCATGACCATACTTGTCTGCCTCTCCACATTATAATTATCACCAGGCAATATTTATAACTATACTATTATTATTCATGATATTTTATGCCCTATGAAAACCTATATGACATATGCTCAAACTTCAGCATCTGAGACATTCAGACTTCAGCTGGGACATTCCCTTCCATTTGCTTACTTGTTCTTCTGACATTTGCACTAACAGGTTAGTTGGAGCATTTAATGTAAATACAGGAGTCCCGTCAGTGTGAAACCTGCAGGACTTGGGTTAGACTCCAGCTCAACATATCTAAACCTCCCATTGTGGTCTCTTTTATACTTTTTTTTCCCCAGTTGGTGCACATTTCAGGACTTGTGATGGTTCAGGCTAGAACTGTATATCATAGATTCTTGCTGAGGCGAGATAATTAACTAAAGGAGTGCTTAATTATTCCAGATGGACAATGGAGCATAGCACATTTATGCCTCATGCAAAACATAAATAAACAGAACAGAATGAACAGCACATGCTTGCCAATCATGGTCTAGACTTGAAATTTGGCACTGCAATACTTACAAACAAATGTAAATGCTTTATTCTCTCACACTTCAAAAAGAATTAAATAAAAGTCTGTCTTGTAAGCACCTTTAGTTTTAATTATTTAAGATCAATACTAACCTAAATGCCTCTGTCCCTAACATGCATCTCCTCTCCAGGGTCACAGACCTTTCTTATTATGAAATCACTGGCTTTCTCCACAAATATTTCTGTTAACCAGTTTCCTCAGTATCATATGCATAAGGGCTATAAACTAATGAGCAGATCTAGGTTATGTAGAAAAAGTGCAGAAAGGAAACAAATGTCGAACGTCACATTTACATTAACTTCTCACAGTTCAAATGGCAATTTATCCACAACATAGTATGAATCATGCAGTAAGAAAAGGGAGGAATCTCCAGTTTCTTTGATTTATTTGTCATATGGTCGACTGATGTCAGTATCAGTGGCTTTAAAAAAAAAAAGTTTAAACATCCAAAAGAAAGGAAGAGAGAAAGGAGGAAAAGGTCTAGCTTTCCGCAAAATCCATTTCCTTTACAACGATGAGCTCAAACCAAACCAAACCAAAGGCTGCTGAAGAGCAGGGTCTTCCGTTCCTTCCGTGCTTGTCTTGTGGTCTGGTGCAAGCTGGGAATCAGGGGTATGGGACTGGTGGATGCATTTTTTTATATATATATATATGTATGTATGTAGGTAGGTATTAATATATATATACATACATACACATATATGCACACAGATACAGTCTTCCTAAAAATGCTCTTTGCAGTCCAGAGGCAGCAGGAGTCACTGTGAAGGAAGAGCTGGGCAACATATGGCTGTAGAGTCTGCACTGGAAAAAGTCACTGGCTAAATATACGCCGGCTGTTTGTTTTCTTTTATTTTCATGAGGCGAAATACGAGCTCTGCATAGAGTACAGCCTGTCAATGGGGTTTCCTACTCTAGCCTGCATGGAGTTAACTTCGGAAGAGGCAAGAAAACAGTCGCTCAAGCTAGTTAAAGAGGTATCACTGTCGATATCATGAAAAATGGAGTCGTTTCCTGCAAATGAAACGTACACGTTAAGCTGGATTCTGTGCATCCAGAGCAGGACACAGTACACACGATGCTCTTATGTTGCGCACCGCAGCAAAAGGGAACGCTCCTGGTTTTGTTTGTACATGTCAACATAATTTCGCTCTAAGGGTCTGACCTACAAAGAGGAAGGCAGGCAACCAAGTCACAGAGTTCAGCTGGCAGCAGTGCCACTCAAATCTGCCAGGATTTAATTTATACCTCAGTCAGCAGCACAAAAGAGAGTCTTGGCTGATGACAGGAGCAAGCGGTGCCAGGGAGGAGCAGGTCCCCGGCTCCCCGTCAGCTGGGCTCCAGCATTGGCGGGGGCACCAGGGCCACCAGGGCAGGTGGGACCAGACACCGAGTGCCCGCAGCAGGGAAAAGCGGTCTGGGAGCCATAACCAGTAACGGTCTTCATTTACACACGAGGTAAAAGGCAGATCTACGAATGCAACAGGACCCAGGAGGAAACCCAGCTTCCGCAGGTCCCCGGCTCCCCGTCAGCTGGGCTCCAGCATTGGCGGGGGCACCAGGGCCACCGGGGCAGGTGGGACCAGACACCGAGTGCCCGCAGCAGGGAAAAGCGGTCTGGGAGCCATAACCAGTAACGGTCTTCATTTACACACGAGGTAAAAGGCAGATCTACGAATGCAACAGGACCCAGGAGGAAACCCAGCTTCCCTGGCCTCAAGTGAGCTACAGCCGTAAACACGCTTTCATTTCAGAAAACTGCACTCTTTTGGGGCTGGTTTGGAACAGCAACTTTTATTTCCCTTAGCAACTAAGACTTCAGCTTACTTAACTCCTAAGGTAGCAGAAAGAGCTCCAGCCTGTGAGCACTAAGAAGGTGTTAGTCCAGCTCTTTTTCTGCATGCACTCATTTAAAATGGCTTTGTGCTCTCTCCTGCACTGGTTTTGGAGCACAGAACCTGCCTCTCAAGGAGCCAGTAAATTGTTAGCAACAGGATCAAGAGCCATCCGATGCTCACTGGCACTTCAGATGTCCTCAGCCCCTTACAGGATTTACCAGATTGCCTGGTGTTTACTGTGGACTTGTCTCAGGGGGCAAAGTAGTAACATGGACCCGAAGCAGATTTCTCGTTGGCCCGTGCATGCCGTGCTCAAGAAAGCCATACGCACACGGACCTCTGCAATGAAGTGCTCCTGGTCAGCAGAAACAAGTCTGAGGGAACAGGCCCTTGTGGGCTACAGCAATACGGCCAACAATCACAGTCTGAGAAATTTCCATAGATTTTATTTAAATGCCACACTGCAATTGTCCAGAATCAATTATTAGGCACTTCATGTTTGTGATGCGTTTGGTGTACCTGCCACTTGATGGTATGTGGTCAGGACATCGTGAAAACAAATCATCATCTTGATTTTGGGCAGAGAATAAAATTACGCAGGAGAAATGTCCTGTGGTGATGCATCTCTTAGTAGGCTCAAGAACTCTCTTTAACAAATTCATGCATCCAATCTGAGGGATCTTAGAGGGGAGCTTATTCATTTTGGAAGGAATAGATTACTTCATTAGACCACTTTTCAAGGCACTTTTTTCCCAAAGCTTCTAAGGAAAAGGAAAAAACTTGTGGGGGAGCTAGAATTTGGTACTGTTTATTTTTCAATGTCTTGGATAGTGGCTTAAAAAAGTGGAGCTGGAGAGGTGAAGTAGCTCGGTTTATCATTTATCAGAATTATACTGTGAAGTAGTTCTGAAGGGTGTCCAGAGCCTGGGATGAGCTCTCTTCTATCCCCTTATGTGTACAGGAAAATACAGCACAAAACTGACGGGTACAAATTCCCTGGTACAAATCCCAGAAAAGATATTATAAAAGCAAGTACCTCTACTGAACCTTTGGTGTGTGTACCAGCACACGAACCCTGCTATTTCTGATGCGGCAGAATGATGCATGCCTTACCATAAGGGTTCATGTGGTCGCCTGGCATTTGTGGAGGGGTAAGACCCTGCTGAAATGGGTCTGTGCCATAACTGCTTTGATCCATTGCTACAATCTGCTGCTGTGGTGGTGCAAGTGGCGTGTAAGACGTCATCATCCCTTCCATTCGGTTGGACATTACTTCTGCAAAGCAAACAGGAGGGCACAGTCACTGCTTAGCAACAAAGAGGCAGCGGACAGCAGCACCAGTGCCAGCACCAAACCCAGGCGCAGAGTAAGCACAGCTAGGTGTGTCCTGTCGTTCAGAGGAGCCTTCCAAATTTTGTCTGAGAGTACAAATCTGAGCAGTAAGTTGGAAGACTTGTAATTTCTGACTGTATCATTTCTAGAGCTCCTGGGTGCTGGACTGTATCTTCCCAAAGTCTATCCTGTGCGTGACATAGTGCTATTATTCTTAACTTCTGTTGGTACCAGTTTTTCTGGCTCTACATAAGAAGAGGATTTGAGGTGCAAACCCTTGGGAGTTGGAGAACCTCAGGAGCATCCACGGAGCAGCAGGGCAAGCCCTGGCACCTCTGTGCAGCACCTGCCCCAGCTGCTGGGGCGCAGGAGGGGCTCCCCATCCGTGACTGCGGCAGCGATGCTGACGTCCTTGGAAACAGCCTGTGGACGCTGAGCTGAGCACGGTCACCCTTTCTTCAGGAGAAGACAAACTGGAGGATCTACCTGGAGCAAGCCTCCTGGAGATCTCCTCCAGTGAAAGTGCCTCTGCAGTGCGTGCTGCTTCTAGAGGCTGTTACCACAGCCTCTGCGTAAGCACTGCCAGGGTCCGACCCCGCCGGAGAACTCTGGGATAACTGGCGTGGGCACTCAGAGCACCTCTGCATGTTTCTGCTGAGGATGGCACACGTTATCCATGGACTGGGACGCGCCCTGTACGGCTGTACGTAAGACATTATGTGGGAATGGCACTTCAGGAGACCCTGCAGATCCTTCTCCCCTCCCTTTGCTTCATTGCGAACCCCCTACCTTGCCCTAGTCGCTGCGAGTTTTGTTGCTCCTGCTGCTGCTGATGCCTCCGTGCCAGTTTTTTCATCTAAATAAAAGAGGAAGAACAATCTCATGGCTCTGAATGCAACAACTGTTTCCTCACAAAACTCTCTGCGAACATCAGATCAATCAATATAGACCATTTATATTCATGCACACACCACTGTGGCTTCGGTTTCATTTCTAAGCTTAAACATTTCAGTTTCCAGTTCATACCTGCATGCAAAACCGCCTCAGTGTGCTTTGAGCACATGAACTTAATGGCTGTGTTTGAAAGTTGCCTTTCTGGTACGGATGCAGACAGCAGTGCATGCAAAATAAACGTACAGCCCAGTCCCTGGGATGTCTGTGGTACGTACTATATTGTGTTGGAGGACAATTTGCGTTTTACTTTTGAGAACTTGACAAACAACCTACCTTTGCTCTTTGGTTCTGAAACCAGACCTGGACAACTCGCACACTGAGTCCTGTTTCAGCTGCTAGTGTTTCTCTGACCTGCAGGAAGAGATGCTTAATGATGTAATTTTTTACATTTAAAAAAAAAAACCTAATCAGTTATGTTAAGAGGAATATGCCTGTACTTACAATAAAAACTGCATGTGCAGAATTACTTTTAAAATTCCTCATATTTTTGCATAGTTTGTTCGAGTTCTGCCCTTCATGTCGCTACCAGTTTCGTAAGTACTGAATAAAGGATCTGAGCTGTGTAAAATGACACTAAGTCATTTCATAATTTTTATTTTACCCATAAAACAGTTCTGTGCAAAAAGATACAAATTTGTCTACAAACATTTTTTATATTGCTGAGGTAAAATGTCATACTTTAAAATGGCAAAAAGGCACATTGCACTGTCCCAAAAGACACACTTTGTACACCAGGAGGAGACTGTAACTTTTTGCAAAAATGACAGCTTCCAGGATGCAACTCCATTTTTTTCCAGTCAAACTTAGGAAGAAAACAGTTAGCTGGGTTGCTTTTGGCAAAGATTTGATTTTCACCAGCTTCACCAGCGAAGCAATACGTGACACTTTTCCCTAGCTGCTATACACAAGACCGAGAGCAGGGTTAAGACTGGAAGGACAAGCAGTGGGACCAAAGCTGAGCCACCATCCCAGCAGACCATGACTCTCTCCACGATGGGAAGGAGAAGGGCAAAAGCCACTTGTTTACCCGGGCTCTGATAGTCAGAGACTACTTCATGGTATTGCTGGGACAGGATGCGGGTGAGCGTTGCCGGGCACTGCCCTGGCTTCTGTATTCACTCTGAGGCACTGCTGCTGTCCTGGGACGGGGCAGGTGGCTCTCTGGGGCTGTGGCCTGACCCTGCCACCCCTGTGGCCCGGTGTCAGAGCTGACTTCAGGTCCCTGAGGAGGCACCCACCTTCCTACAGGGCTTGGAAGACACTTCAAAGGATGCTTTGAATGCTCGTCTCTGCTGCGTAGTAAGTATCGTCCTTGGTCGTTTAGGTCTTCTTGGGTCCTTCCCATCATCGCTTCCTTTTCCTTGGGTTACTTGTCCTTTGGTGGGCTTAACGTCTCCGTCTTCATCATCACTTTTAACTAGTGAAAAATAAACAGGATATAAAATTGTACTTGTTCCACCAAGAAAACAGGGCATGTGAGAACTGCTTTTCAGCTGCCAAACTACTCAACGGGTTCAACTATTATCCCATGTTTATTTGAATGCCTAAACTAACTGCGGGCAGGAAGAGACTTAGATTTGTGTGCGCTGCCTAAATCAAAGGCCACAAAAGCATAAAAACGTGTTTAATTTTCAGCTGAGGGCATGGGACTGATCAGGGGATGGAAACTCAGAATACGCTTCAGGATTTCCAGCAATCAGGACAGAGACTTTGTGCCCTCCCAGCATCGCTCGGTCGCCCGTGTGCGCCCACAGCAGCTGGCACCCCCCCACCCTTCGCAGCACAGCAGCACCTTCTCCCGAGGCATCGGCTGCAGACGGGCACCGCTGCCCGCACCGCGCGGCAGCACAGCGGTGTAATGCGCTATCACAAAAATATCTCGATGTCTGTTCAGCTAAATGCAGTGTAGATTCCAGGGATTGTTCTGAACATTTTGAAGCTCCGGAGATGATAGGAAGTATAATCTTTGCCATCTCATTTCTGAATCCCACAGAAAACATCAGTGTTCTTTCTCTGTGTATTTCAATGTGTCTATACGCACGCACAGATTTCTCTTCCTTGGTAAATACATACAAGTATATATGTGCTTGTGCAGACCAAATAGATTGTTTGTATTTTCTGTAGCTAAATTCTGAATATTTGGTGACATTACTTGTGTTAGTATATTGCACTGGGAAATCCCACTCACAGTGGCAAAGGTCAAAGAGTAAGGACAAATTTTGTTGTGAAAACAACTTTTCAACTCAGCGTATTTTTTTTCACCAGACTACTGATTTTTCTTCCAGAAAACATTAGTATGCTATTATAGGGACTTGAACACGAAGAAACCCACTGCAATTTTTATATACTCAGAGATTATGTTTAGGGAATTAAGAAATTAGACTTTAATTCATTTTGGGGTCTGATTATTATGCACCTAGCAATCTAATCACCTTTTACTTTAATAAGCATCTTTTGCCTAATGATGAAAGAGAAGTTCAGTCATTTTAATAACCATGACATTATTAACTTTCCAGCACGCCATTTCTAAGGAAAGGTTTGCAAGGATTAATATTGCTCATTGGAGAGCTACTCTTGTGTCCAGTGGATAAATATTTGATTGGAGAAGGACACGTTCTCAGCCAGGGCTCTGTGAAATCATTTGCTCTCACACAGGCATCTGGGAGAGCTGTGTTTTCAGTGCATTAGACAACGGGAGACAAAACATCCCATTTAATTTGTCAACTTGTTTTTCAGGTTTGGGTTTGGCTAACAGAGAATAACGAGGGGAAAAAAAGCATCTCCAGGAGTAGGAAACTACCCCTTGTGCCAAGGGGAAATGAAATTGAAACCGAGGCGGTTCTGTGCCGCTGGGGCACCTCACTGCTGATCACAAAATCCAAAACGTGGTCCTGAAGGAGAGCCCAGCCATGCCCAAAGCAGACTCAGATGCAGCTGGCTGGCCAACAGTGCCTGGGTGGCGCACAAGGAAGGCGGGAGGAGGATCCCCGTGCCCATCGCTGTGGCACGCGGACAGCCTGGACACTCGGCGTTTCCGAGGACACAGACAGCAGGATGCTGCAGCTGGCGAGGAGAGCACTACACTGGAGGGCAAGTAGGAAACTCTCGTGCCTCGGGTAAACTCACAAAGAGCCCAAACCCTGCGACACGAGATTTACAGAGCAGAGTGCTCGAGGTCCTGCAAATACAGTATGGCAATAAATAACAGCTGCTGCAAGAAAGGCCTCGGTCCCACACGTCCTGCTGAGTCAGCAGTGACCTTTGTCTTGCAGCATTCCTGACATGAAAATATAAATTTCAGCAATGTAGAGAATATGGCTCTCAGATTAGAGATTAAGGATAATTACTGCTCCTAGCTAAATTGGAATAATGCATTTTCCCATAAAGCAGAGGCAAACATTCATGTCATTTGTACGCTTAATGGAATGGTAATCGTTGATTTTCTTAGACGTTTTCTTGGGAAACAAGCGTGCGACGATGATGGCTCACAGCAATTTGTGCACACACTGTCTCTAGTCTTGGGATCAGCCAGGGCACGCCAGCAGCAGGCGGCTTCCAGTCTCCCTGAGTGCATATGGCACAGGCAGGAGTCATCTCCTGGAACTGCCTGTGAGCCTCAAAGCCAGTCCTCACTGTACCCACCACTAGATGCCCCAGTTTTGGACTGGAGAACCCAAATCCAGTGCGTGAACTACTTGTCCTGTGCAACACCGTGCTCCCAGGCCCCGATGGACAGCAAGGGGACTCTGCTCGCTCTGCTGACAGTCAGGTGTCCTTCTGCCTCAGCTCCTGGGCCAAGCGGTGTGGACTCTTTCAACCACGGTGTTCAAAGCCCAGGTCCCTCTGAAGAGAGAGGTCCCACAGCAGATGAGTAGTGGTGCATTTTAGTAAGATATCGAGCCTGTGGTCTCTTGATCCCGAACGGTTTGCAATCATCAGGAACCGCACAGGACCTCAAGGACACTCTTGGAGACCTGTAACAGGCAGACTTTGCACGCCCCGCTTCTGTGCTCTACAGCACACAAACCATAGGGTGGCTACCTGCGGGTCTGCTTGGCTGACACCGCAATGGGCTCAGACACAAAACAGCAGGGAGGCAACAGAGATGATGGAAACCAGGGCCTTCGTGGCACAGAAGAGACGTGCTGCCAGGGAGAAGTCAGGATTAGCAGAGAGAATGCTCTTGAAAACTGTATTACTACTTTGCCCATGTTCCTAGCTCGGTGCTGAAAGTGTACGTGCAGAAGGTCCCCTGAAAAACACATTAAGTGAGTGGAAGAATGCCTGTGGAAAACAGCACGCTTTGAACGAGGCCTCAGGTAACCGAAATCAGTCTGATTCACGTTTTGTGATCTCACAGAAAAATACTTTGACAAAAACAAAAAGATTTTATCCTTTACTAAGCAGCAAGTTAAGGAAGGGAGTCAAGTTAGGGAAAACAGACTGCAAGTAGAGATTTTTAACTGTGCCTGCTCATTTGCATGGGTGGCATGTGCATATGGATAAAGCGGATGCGTACATGGATATACTTTTCTATATAAGAAAGCTCTACAAACCCTTGCAGCTTTTCCAGTTGGAGCAGGTGTGGGAAAAGCTCACCTGAGTCCGAGTCGTCCGGGCTGACAGAGCTCAACAAGTCTTTCTCTTTTTCATAGTCACTTTTGCAGAGCAATTGCCCTTCCTTGAGAACAAATTCATCCCCTTTCCTCAGCTGTCGTTCGCAAACGCAGCAGCAGAAGCAGCTTAAGTGGTAAACACACTCCAGGGCTCTCATCACGAATTCTGTTGGGGCGATCTTTTCCATGCAGCCACTGCACTTAGCAGCAAACAGCCTGAAAGAGAGAGAGGCAGAAAAGTCAAAGGGGACGTCAGATCATACACTGCATGAATGTAAATACAACAAATTCTTTAATTTAACTACAGATGGGCTTGGCTCACGCTTTGCACACCGGGAGACTCGCATCCTTAGTCTTGGAAACATCCCAGACATGCAATTTATTCAAATCTCAATCCCTTTGGTCTAGAGACTCCCAAATCATCTTTGCTGGATAAAAACCACTAAGATTTGTCCTTATCTCACTGTTTTGTTCCTCTTCAAAAAGACAAACACAAAGGAGCTCTCAGAGTTTGGACAACTTGTTCAAAACCAAATTTAATTTAATTCACCTTTTCGAGGAAGGACCAATTCTCGCTTTGTTTTATACAGGCTCTCAGGTTTCAGCACTTAAACCCTATTCTGAATAGATTTCATGACTTTCCATTTTCGGTACTGTCTGTCTCTGAGGACGCCGATAAATGAACACAGAAACAAGCACAAAAACTCCGTGCTATTGCTGAGGAGATCACACACACACATGCAATTGCACACATGCAATTGATAAAGAGAAGAGTGAAATAACACGGCTTTTATTTGGATGTTGAGTTATTCCAGAACAACCTGTCTCTGAAGGGAGCACTGTGCATTTCAAATGGTGTGAAACATCCTTTGGCAGAGATAGGCCGTGATGCAATCTGCTAAATTACCACTATAATCACAGGCTCTAGAATATACACTGTATTACAGACTAGTTCTTACTAAACCTTTACAAACCCCCTCTTTCGTCCATCATTAATTTTCTAAGATAAAGTAAGAATGATTTAGATGAATTTTATTTTGCTTTTCTAATGGCAACTGGGAATCTCCCTAAGTGAGCTTTTAGGAAGAGGGCTGCTTCAAATAAAGATTAATAGCTAAGTTACGTCCCTGCATCACGCAGTGGGCTCGGTGACTGGAAATTCAGTGTCTTTTATGGCAATACATCAAAGTGCAAGGTGCATTAATATTTACATTTCGGCAATGAAATTAACACAGCTGCACCCGCGTGTTCACAGGAAAAAAAGGAGATTCTGCCTTTTAGGTTGGAGTACACTGCCTTATTTTTTTCAGCCTCAAAATTATCCTCTTTTTTTATCAAAGCTGATTATCTTCAATTTTAGGAGGCGCAGGCTGTGGTAGTCACTGATTCCTCCAAAGCCTCCATTTTGTCTGAGCCGAGAGGTACAGCAAAATGGCAGTCACAGCTCCTGCGCAAAACGATGGAGTCACAGAACGGGCAGGAGGGAAAAGAAAACGTAAATACATCTGCGTACGGCAG